AGTACCTAGCCATTGGCTGTTCAGCTCTTTATCAAACCAGGCAGGCAGGCAAGGTGAAAAAACAACACATCTTTATCTAGGTAAACAAATACAACACACCTTCCCGCAGCTAAAGTAACACCCCGCAACATAAACAAATGTAACACCTTTCCATAGTCAAAGTAATATTTCACACATTCAGTCTCTTTGTAGTCCTCAGCCCCCACTCAGTCTCTTCTCGCTCTGTAGGGATCCCAACATGGGCAACTCAGCAGTGCCCACGCACTGGTACCCTTATACCCTGGAGAACGGCAACTACCTGAACATCACTAAGTCGATAACCAGCACATCCATGAAGCAGCACCTGAGAGCCAAGTTCCTGCAATACTGGGCTGTGACATACGAGGTGCTGCCCACAGTGACCGATGGCGAGGGGACCCTCCCTCCCCCTGAGGATGACTCAGAAGCTGTCCCTGTGCCCCCTGTGGATGATTCCCAGGCTGCCCCTGTGTCCCCAACAGACGAGGCTCAGATGCCTGTCATTATTGGCTTCTAATGTCTGGTAAGCCTTGGTCCCAGGGACCTCCTCTTTTTAGGGTCTCCTTTCTCAATAAAGTCTTAGCTGTGCCCACCTGGTATTTGGTTTCTGTTCCTGAAACAGCCTGGAGGAAGGAGGGACCCTCGGTCAATAGCGACAGACACTCGGTTCATCCCTGCCAATCCTCAGGCTGTAGAAGTCAAAGGACTGTCTTTAACTTAGGAGCCAACACAGCACCGGAGATGATGAACATGGGGTGGGGGTCTCTTGTAGGCAGGAAGCAGGCACCCTGGGATCCTGGAAAGTCATTCATCATTCTCCAGCCCTGGCCAGCATATGAGGCAGAGAGACAGGGCCATCATGGGCACAGGCAGCTATAGGGAGCTAGAACCTGGCTCACAGGCTGCGGGAATGCTAGGAAGACACACACTACAGCCTTCAGCACTGCACTCTGGCTTTCCTAGGTGTGGTGCCAGCAGGGGTTAGAACCCTGGGGCCTCAGGGTGTGTCTCCATAAGAAAGGGGTTGGCCAGGGTCCTGCTTGTCTGTGGGTAATCCTTCTCCTTCCCCCACTTGTCCCCCTCCCTCCTCAGACTTTTTTGTTTGGTTTAGTTTTTTTAGTTTTTTTTTTTTTTTTTTGAGATAGAGTTTCTCTGTATAACAGCCCTGGCTGTCCTGAACACCCTTTGTAGACAGGGCTGGTCTTGAACTCACAGAGATTCGCCTGCCTCTGCCTCCCAAATTCTGGGATTAAAGGTGCATGCCACCATGGCTCAGACCCTCCTTAGACTTTTATAAATGACTTTGAAGTCTACATGTCCCTACTGTGATCAAAGAAACATTGAGGCAAGCTTCAAATGCTCCCCTTTCTCCAAAGCTGTGGGAAGGCTTCCTTTTGGTTGGGAAACCGTCCTTGCAAGTAGCTTTTGTTTCAAACCTAGGACTTGCTGTATTGTCCAGATTGGTCTTGAGGCTGAGCTCAAGGGCTCCTCCTGCGTCAGCTTTCCAAGAACCTAGGATTATGAACTAGGGCTTATAATACTATTTATATTAAATTAAATAATTATATTTTGAGTCAAAGTTTTGCTATCTATCTCAGGCTAATCTCCAATTCATAATCTTCCTGCCTCAGTCTCCCAAGTGCTGGGATCACAGGGGTGTACCATTGTGTTCAGTCTGCAAGCATACATTTTTTTTAAAATCATTTATTTGTATTTTATGTGCACTGGTGTTTTGCCTACATGTATGACTGTGTAAGGGAGTTGGATCCCCTGGAAGAGGAATTACAGACAGTTGTGAGCTGCCATGTGGGTGCTGGGAATTGAACCTGGAAGAACAGTCAGTGTTCTTAACAACTGAGCCATCTCTCCAGCTGGTAAAATTCTTAAAATTGTGATAAACAGGCCAGCAAGATGGCTAAGCAGGTAAAAGCACTTTCTGTGAAAGCCTGAATCCACATAAATGTGGAAGGAAAGAACCAACTCCACGAAGTGGCCCTCTGACCCCCAGTGTGCACATACCCCCCCACACACACTGAAAGATACTCATTGTGATAAAATATGTGTCTTAGGGGCTAGAGAGATGGCTCAGAGGTTAAGAACACTGACTACTTTTCGAGATCCAACACTCTCACACAGACATACATGTAGGCAAAACACCAATGCACATAAAATAAAGAATTATTTCTTAAAAATCCATGGGCTGGAGAGATGGCTCAGAGGTTAAGATCACCGACTGCTCTTCCAAAGGTCCTGAGTTTTATTCCCAGCAACCACATGATGGTTCACAACCATCTGTAATGAGATCTGATGCCCTCTTCTGGCCTGCAGGTATACATGTAGACATTGTACACACAATAAATAATAGAAAAAATTTTTAAAAAATCCATGTCTTAAGCTAACTAAAGTATTTGCAGGAGAATTACACTGTTGTACCCCCAGCACCATTACTTTCTTTTGGTATTTTTTAATTTTTTTTTCATTTATTTTACATATCAACCAGTTTCCTCTCCCTCTTCTTGTTCCTTCCCTCCAATTTCCATCTATCCCACCATCCACTCCTCCTCTGTTTCAGAAGTAGGCAGCCCTCCCATGGGAGACAACAAAGCATGTCATATCAAGTTGAGTCAGGACCAAGCTCCTGGCGCTGTATCAAGGCCAGGGAGGCATCCCTGCATGGGGAATAGGTTCCACAAAGCAAGCTCATGCGCCAGGGACAGACTCTGGTCCCATTGCTAGGGGCCCCACAAACAGACCGAGCTACACAACTGTCATTCATGTGCAGAGGATTTAGGTTGGTCCCAGTCAGGCTCCCTAGCTGTCAGTCTAGAGTCCGTGAGCTCCCATTAGCTCAGGTCAGCTGCCTCTGTGGGTTTCCCTGTCATGGTCTCGACCCCATCTTGCTCATACAATCTCTCCTCCCTCTCATCAGCCGGATTCCTGAAGTTCAGCCCAGTGCTTGGCTGTGAATCTCTGTATCTGCTTCTATCAGTTACTGGAAGAAGGCTCCATGCTGACAATTAGGATAGTCCCCAGTCTGATTACAGGGCAAGGCCAGTTCAGGTACCCTCTCCGCTATTGCTTGGAGTCTTAGCTGGGGTCATCCTTGTAGCTTCCTGGAAATTTCCTGGCACCAAAATGGCCCCCTCTATCAAGATCTCTTTCATTACTCTCCCCCTCCGTCCCAGCCCCAATTTGATCAACCAGATCCCTCGTGCGTGTGTGTGTGTGTGTGTGTGTGTGTGTGTGTGTGTGTCCGTTGCCCAGGAGATCTCATCTATTCCCCTTCCCAGCGAAATCCACGCGTCCCTCTAGGGTCCTCTTTGTTACCTAGCTCCTCTGGTGCTGTACCACTGCCTATTTCCCAAACTCTTCATTACCCCAGACAGAAACTCTGGATCCACTCGACACCGGCTCTCCACTCTCCTTCCCATCCCCTTGTGACGTGTCATCTCAGCATCTTCCAGATGCTTCTAAGTAGGATAGACAATACACCCTGGAGGTCTATGTTCTCCCCGCCCCTGGCTGAGCACCCCCACCCCGCCTGCTGCTGGCGCTCCAGGACCTTAAGTGCTCCTCTGATTGTTGCAAAGTTGGTAGCAATGCACTCACTTTCAAATTCGAGTGACGTGGGTCCTTTATTTAAATTCTTGGCTGATCTAACTAAAGGTTTGTCAATTTTGGTCAAAGAACCTGATTCTCTTTCCATTTGTCTCTGTTACATGTTTTTCCCCGTTTTTGTGTGTGGAGCACACATATTTGTGTACGATCGGGGTGTGCATGAGAAGGCCCAAGGTTGATGTCAGTAAGCATCCTGGGTTTTCTTCTGTAGTCTCAGGACCTTTCCTCAGGGTAGGCGAGATGATTTACTTCAGTGTGTTTGAGGTTTTCCCTGCACGTGTCTAGGAGGCCAGAAGAGGGCGCCAGTTTTCCTAGAAGTACAGGTGGTGAGGCGCCACAGGGAACCAAATCTGCATCCTCTACAACAGCAACAAACACAGCAGACAAGAGTGCTGACCCCGGAACTCTCTCCAGACCTTGTTTAAAATGACGTGGATGTCTTCCTTCATTTTGCATGTGTGTGTGCATGCATATGAGCACATGGTGTTTGTGAAGAGCAGAGGACAACTCACAGGAGTTGGTTCTTTTGCCACCACGTGGGTCCCAGGGAGTGGGCTTGGGTTGTCAGGTTTAGAGACAAGTGTTTTTACCTGCTGAGCCATCTTGCTGGCTCACACTCACAATCTGCGATCTCTCTCTTTTTTTTGGGGGGGGGGGGTTAGCTTATTGAGACAGAGTTTTATGTTGTTTTTTTTTTTTTCAAGACAGGGTTTCTCTGTGTAGCTTTGGAGCTTGTCCTGGCACTTGCTCTGCAGATCAGGCTAGCCTGGAACTCACAGAGATCCATCTGCTTCTGCCTCCCAAGTGCTGGGATTAGTGCTGGGATTAAAGGCGTGTGCCACACCACCCGGCTTCTCTGTGTATTTTTAAAAAATATTTATTTTTGTGTATGAGTGCTTGCTGCATGTGTATAGCACATGTTCTGGTGTCTAAGAAGGCCAGAAAAGAGTGTCAGATCCCCTGGAGTTGGAATTATAGGTGGTTGTGAGCTACCTGATATGGGTGCTGGGAAGCCTGCCCTCCACAGTAAAGGGAGGTGTGTGTGCTCTTCTCTATTGAGCCGTCTCTCAACCCCCCAATCTTCCATCTCTATAGAGACTGCACCCTGGAAGCGTTTGTTTTTAGATGCCATCAATTCAGAGGCTGTGCTGTGCTTCCTGCAAACACCCTTAGGAGTGCTGAGAGGCCAGCAGCAGAGACACACCTCTTTAGCCAGTCTGCCAGTTGGAGGAGTGTTTCCTTTAGCATGCCTGGGGAGCGCAGCTGGCTCTTCTATGCCTGCATGAAATCCACTGAGAATCCTCCATGAAAGAGAGCCAGAGGACCCTTCTAGTAGCAAGAAAGTAAAAAGAACAAAACCATAGTGACCACGTCATAGTAGAAACGGGATTTTAATATAATATTCAAGTCTAGCATTTTCTATTTACAACAAATAAATATTGCCCCACCCCAATCAGTAAACTTTTATTCCTTTTTATACAAATATTCAGTCGTCTTTCCCTCCCCGCAGCCTCCCATTTCATGTAGTCTTGTATGACCCAGGCTGTAGTGATGCTACATGGCACGTTCAGTGGTATGGGATTCGATACCAACCGGGTGGTCCATGACAGGGCTTCTCTCTCTGATCCAAGGGAGGGCTGGGGCTCGTGGTGGGCGAGACTCCCTTGCTTTGTAGGCCCTGAAGGTGGAATCTTTGGTGCAGCCTGAGAAAGGCTAGAGTGTGGGAGGAAAGGCCAGGACTTCCATGAAGGTCCCAGGCCAGTGCCTGTGGGCACAAGGAGAGAACGCAGTGGTCAGCCCTGCTGGGTGTGTGGGTGCCCTGGGGCATCCGGGGGCATGGGTGGCAGTGATTTGCACCTGGGGAGGTGTCAGGAAATTGTGGAGGGTAGTGTCCAGGGCAGGCAAGGTACCATGCCCAGTTGGCAGCACTCCTTGGCAAAAGTCAGCTAGTCCTCTGGTTCCAGAGAGCAGAAGGCACCTAAGGCGGCGAGTGATCCCCGGAGGCCAGGTCAGCCTGTCAGTGACCTGGCAGGTGTCAATCCCGGCAGCAGGAGAGGTTTAGGGTGAAATTGGAGTCTGGGGGTAGCCTGGGCTAGCAGGTAGGCAGAGGTACCTGTGTGGCCTGGGCCACTCTAGTCTATAAGTGCTTAGTCCTCAGCCAGCCAGACCCTGGGAGACGTCCTTAGAAGATGCCTTTGGCAATCTTGAGTCCTTTCTGCTTCATGCGAGGGAGGGTGGAGCTGGCTCCATGCTTGACCTTATTAGTCCCCTTGGTGAAGGTCCGCTTCTTAAGGATAAAGTCATAGTTGGCAGTAGAGTTCATGGCATAGAACACGTTGGCGTTTTCTGGAATCTTCAGCTCTGGTGGGAGGGGAGCAGGGCAACAATCAGTGGTGATCATGGGGATGGGATAAGTCCACCATATGAGAGCCTCCTCCAGGCCAGGCCACCAACAAGGACCTCTCCCGTGACTCTAGCCAAGAGTCTCCCCATGCCGCCCACCCACATGGCTGTCTCTAATAGTTCGGACTTCCAGCCAGAGCAGGCTTCCTGGAATTCTGACTGCTTTCTTTGATGCTCCCCTACTCCTCACAATGGCTCTGTGGACCAGCAGGAGGCAGAACCTTCCTCTAGGTCCAACTTCCACCACTCTCCCCTGGCCTAGAATCTGTCCATCATTACCGAGCTGGACTTGCTTTTCCTACTGACCTTGTGTCTGACTCTAGATCCCAAGCCTCTGTAGGCCTGCTTTCTGAAAGGCAGGGATCCCCTCACCCAGTCCATATAACCAAAACGGTAGAGGTTAAGAGAAGGTTTGCCACACAACATCTAGATGTCATGGGCATCACTGCTGACTGGGGCAAGCGTGATGTGGGTGTCAGGCTCACACCAGCAGTGTGATGGCAGCATGCATGGGTGACCTCTCTGGTAATCTCTCTCTAGCACTAACCTGCTGGTCAGAGCCTCCTTATGGGGAGAAGGACATAGGCACAGAGTGACTGGAATTCTGTAAGATCCTTGAGAATGGGCTGGTTCCTTTAGTTTGGTTTGGGTTCCTTTTTTTTTTTTTTTTTTTTTTTTCAGATAGGGTTTCTCTGTGTAACAGCTCTGAATGTTCTGGAATTCACTTTGTAGACCAAGATTCACCTGCCTCTGCTGCCCAAGTGCTCGGATTAAAGACGCTGCACCACCACTGCCGGGCGGGATGGTTCTTTTATTTATTTTTACTTATGTGCATTTATCTATGGAGACCCAAAGAAGACATCAGATCCCCTAGAACTGGAACTACAAGAGGTTGTCAGCCAGCGGGTAAGTGTGCTGGGAACTGCAAAAACACACACACTTATGACTTTAAGATTTAACTTTATATATGAGTATCTGTCTGCACGTATATGTATGTGACATATGCGGTACCCAAGGAGATTAGACGGGAGCATCAGATCCCTGGAACTAGGATTATAGGTGGTTGTGAGCCACCATGTGGGTGCTGGGAACTGAACCTGGATCCTCAGGAAAAACAGCAAGTGCTCCTAACCACCAAGCCATCTATCTCTTCAGTACACAGTACACACTCAAACACCGAGCCAACTCTCCAACCCAGGCTTGTTCTTGATTCCATCCTCCTAGTTTCTAGAACATGGGACTCAGTATGTGTGCTTTTTGTGTTCATGTGTGGATTTTAACACATGGAAATTCTTTCTGAACACCTGCTTTCTTAGCTGAGCCAGACAATGTCCCCTCCAGCAGACCCCAGAGTGAGCCTCTCTCAGTCTTGCATCTTAGATGGGGAGGTCCAGCAGACGCTGGGGCAAGACAGGTCGCAGTAGGTGCCATGCCTACATTTACCTGCTACTGTGTTTTCCAGGGCCTCAGGCCTTGGGGCTGGGGCAGAGGACAGTGCTGACCTGCCCCTCTGCCCGGGCCTGCCCTGGGTCTTGGGCAGAGGACGGTGCTGACTGCCCCTCTGTCCGGGCCTCGAACCCCGCCGTCTGACTTACTGTGGTCTTCTGAGATGATCTGCACTAGCTCATAGTCCTCTGGCTCATCCTCATCCAGGTTGTGTTTGTCCATGGCTTTTCGGATGACAGTCGGGGCCTTATCCTGGCTGGTCACCTGAAATGGGGACAGGCTATCAGGACAAAAGTCATAAATGCTTTCCTAGGGCACGGTGGCCAGAGACTCATCTGGGTACCTTTCTATCTTCTGCTTCCCTAAAGTGGCCCCCATAATATGAGGATGGCCGTTTCCCAACTGTTCCCAGCCCCATTTTCCTACAACAGCCTGCCACCAACTCCCACACTGCCTTGGGAGCCATGTGCCCCTGAAAGCAAGAGGATTATAAGCCTGGGGAACCAATAATTTCCACTCCAGTCCTAAGGAGGAACCAGCCAATGCCCACTAGTCACCTATATCCTGTCCTGCCCTGACACTGTGAGGCAGGTGGCACAGGCTGGCTCAGGACTCAGTCATGGGGCACCCAGCTGAACGTGAGTAAGAGCCATTGCAGCTCCTGGGGCTGAGGGGCTGGCTCATCTGCAGCTGGAGCCCTGGCAGGTGAGAAAGGGCCTCCCTGTGTGCCCACCTACAATCTGTGAGCAATCCCATTGGCTCCACATTCAAGTAACAGCCATACTTTAACACCACTGACTCTGCCCATGGCCACCAGCCTGCTTTGGCCTCCCTTTCCCTGAACTTGGACTGCAACAGCAGCCTCCTCAGCAGCCTGCCTCCATCTTGGTCAGCAGACCAAGTCACCATAGAAAGTCAAGGGCCTTACAGTTTAACAGAGCCCTGACCACCTCTCCCTCAACTGTCCCACTGCCTTAGACCTGATGACCTACAGGCTACAGTTTCCTTACTGCTCCTTTCCCACCTCTCAAGCCCTGAGTGCTGACCAAAGTCTTCAGTTATTCTATTTTTTCAAACCTAGAAGGTCAATGCGAAAAATTAAAGACAGCACACGGGTATCTGTGCATGTCTGCCTCCTGGCCAAGTTGGGCCCCATGAGGACGCCCTGCTGCTGGCTCACCAGGATGCTCTTGTACATGTTGCCGTTGTCCACATCCAGGCTGACCCGGATGATGCAGCAGTCGCCCACCTGCTGGTTATAGAGTGGCAGTGAGGAGCTGTAGCTGCAGACCCCTGAGACGGAGCGCTTGTGGGTGCGTGTGGTAGACACGGGTGTGGTGGAGGCTGATGAAGAGGACGTGCTGCTGGAGGCTGAGCTGATGCCAGAGGTCTCTGGGGACGACTGGGAGGCTGACTCCCAGAACTGTGGATGACAGCAGTGTCAACAGCAGCCTGAGTCATGAAGGGCCCTCAAGGCTAGAGGTCAGCTTTGGGGACTTCTGTCCCTTGTTGGACAGTGTGAGACGCAACAATAAGGAGGGGTGGGGGCATGGGTGGTCACCTTCTTTTCCTGGCCATCAGGAGACTCTGGGACAAAGCTCATGTTGATTTCCTCCACGTCAGAGCTGGAAGAACCAGCTGAGTGCACGCTGAGGGCATCAGTGATGTCCCCACTGCCGAGGTAGGGGCCGCACCGGAGCTGGTCACAGGACTTGGAGTGGGCACTGCTACTGGTACTAAGCTCGGTGCTGGGAGCCTGGCGGCTGAATGAAAAGGTTGGCTTACGTCAGGGGTCTTCCCAAGGACACCACCCTTAAATATGTGGAGTCTTGGTCTACTAGTGCTTGGTTTTTCCTGGATATCTGTGGGATCGCCCCATTTCAGAGAGGTGGAAACTAAGTACCAGAGAGCTGATTCAACTCGCTCTGTGACTGGCAGGGCTGGCAGTGTCAGGGTAAGACCCTAGCGCCAGCTTAGTTGACTCTCCTAGCCACAGCCCTGAGACTTCTCTGGTCCCCGTGCGCCCCTGGGCCCAAGAACTTACTCGCTCCAGCGCTTGACAATGGCTGTGCTTTTCTTGCTCCTGAGGGTGTTGCTGGCTGACTCGGACGGAGGCTCCAGCTCACACGAAAGGTTGTAGCTAAGGCAGAAGTGGCTGTGAGGCTACCAGAAGCTAAGCTGGAGCTCCCAACCAGGGCTAGCCCAGAAGTTGGAGCCTGGGTACACAGCCATCACCAGACAAGTGTGGCGTGATAGCCCAGGGCCTGCAGCCTCACCTCTCAGCCTCACTGAGCCGTTCCATGGCTCGGAACCAGGCTCCGAAGTGCTCCTCAGGAGCAATGCTGTAATTGTTGCAGGCGGACTGCAGCAGCTTGATCTGGGCGATCACTTCGAACTCCTGGGTCAAGGAAGACAGGGTGGTGATGGACCTATGAGGGTGGGGCAGGGGCTAGCCACTAGGTCTTTCTCTGGCTACTCCCCCACTTATACCCACTCAGGCTCCTTCCTGCTTCACAGTTCAAACAGCCACACCTAGAAAGCTGTCCTGGATGCTATCTCCCAGCCCCCTTGGTACAGCCCTTGAAGGGTATACCAAATGTCATCAGAGATCAATGCAAGGATGGAATGTACGTTTGGCCCCCTCCCCACCCTGAGGGTGGCAGCGCCTCACCTTCCTTCTCTTTTCGAAGTTGATGAGTCTCCCCTAGAAGACAGAGAGCCAACATCCATAAGAAAGCAGCCCCTCTCCATTATTAAAGTCCTGCCTACTTTGATCTGCACTACGACAGGCACCCACTAGGGGGCAGGGAGCACGGGCACCTGGCCCTAGGCACCATCTCAGATAAACCGGAGGGCAGATTTGGAGACATTTTTGTCCAACCCCTTCTGAGTTAGAAGGCCCTGCTTGGCCCATAGGCAGTTTGACCTTGGAGTGTAGAGAGTCACCATCTGAGGGTGCACATCAAGTCTGGCCAACCCACTCCTCAGCTCTGCCGCCAGACAGCTCTGGAGGGTTCACCAGGGGTCTCCAAGGCCTCAGGAGCCCACCCTCAGCCCACCTCAGCTCAGCCCACCTCAGCTCAGCCCACCTCAGCCCCAAGTTCACTCACATACAGATAGTCCTTCATGGCAGTGTCCAGCATCACCAGGTCAGTGAGGAATGTGCCCAGGTAGGGGACAGTGCCCTGGATGACACCCTGGGACATCAGGTGGGAAATAAGCAAGGCTTGGTGCTCCTCTCCCCTACTCACCTGACCACAACCCCACCAGGGCCTTGCACTTGGAGCAGCCTGAGAGCCTTTGCCCCATCTCTCCCAGGTCCTCCCATCCCAAACTGGCAATGGGCAGATCATCAAGTGGCCCCTGCTCATTCTCTCCCCCAAAGAGCTGCGGGGCCCTGACTCTGATGGTACAGAATCTTGTTCTGGTTCCCCAAGATGTAGCTTGTCACCTTGCAAGGAAGGTAAAGGCCAAGGGAACCCTTCCTCTCCCAACCTCCAGCTCACTCACTGTCTCCTTCTGCCGCCTCTGGGCTCTCCTAGGGTTCATTTCCAGCGTGGCAAACTTGGAGGTTCCCTCCTGCCAGGGTTGAAGGCAGAGTGAATCTCAGGTTTTCTCCCACCCGACCCCAGTCTGTGCTCTGACCCTGGGCCTGGAGGACCCGCACTGGCCCAGCATGCCTTCTGCTACAGTTGGTGCTTCTAGAGCAGTCTCCTTTCCTAACACTCAATGGTGGAGGAGCGAGGGCCCGGGCCTGGCCTTCCTGCACTTGAGTCCTCATCTTCCAAGTTCAGAGGACCCTGCACCTGCCTCCTGCAGACAGGCGGGCTCAATGCCCAGACCCCAGTGCCATCCTGACTTGTTTCCTGTAAACAAGTCCAGTGATCTCTTACACGCTCCTTTCCCTTAGATAGCATCGCCTCCTGTACCTCAGTGCCCTCTATTTGCCAGACAAGAAGATAGGCATAGAGGCTGGCAGCAGCTTGTGCAGAACCCCACAGGGACTCAGGAGTGCAGCCCACTGACTGGGTCCTGTCCTGGGGCCCCTTGGTGTGTGGCAGGATCTTTAACTGAGCTCAGTCATAATGGGAGAGGGACAGAGTGTCTCAAACTCCTTGTTCCAGCACCCAGGTGGAGCCCAATACCAGTGCTTCCCAGCTCCACAGGGCCTTCAGCAGAGGACACTGCTCCTCAGGGCTGTCTCAGCCTGACCAGTATGGCAGGGGCAGGGCCCACTAATAATCCTGCCTTTTAGGGTGGGGGGCGGGTGAGAGTGTTCAGGGGTGAGACAGAAAGGTATGTTTATCAGTCCCTGATGCTAAGCTGCTGTGCTTCCTGTGGCTCCAAGGGACAAGGCCACCTGCCACCGTTCCTCATGTAGTCAACTGCTTCTGCTTCAGGCCAAGGGGAGAGCCAGTTATGCAGGCGTATCTGTGCCCTGGGACTAGATGGAGGAAGGACCCCCAACGCTGACAGGCCTGGCATCACAGAGACAGAATGAACTGCCTCAGGAAAGAAGGTACTTGCGCCCCTTTCCATCGCCTGCCCATCAGTCTGCCAGTGGCTAAATCCCAGCAGGAAGCTGTAGATCTGCTAATCCGGCTGGCTCATCCTCCTGCAGAAGCCAGGCTGGCTGTCCCCACTACATCAGATTACCAGGGGCCTCCTGTTCCTTCTATGCTTGCCACCTGTCCAAGCTTTGTCAAGCATGGAAGTTTGCCATCCCCTTGTTTCCTGTGGTTCCTCACCTTGATGAGCAGCTCTCTGCTCAGGGAGTAGTTGTTCTCATCAGAGAAAATCTCCGACAGCTTCTGGAACACTCGAAAACTGTCCCTGAAGGAAGTGTGGAAAGAAGGCAACAGTTGTGAAGAGTCTGCACTGGGGCAGGCAAGATGGAGAATCCATTTGCTTTTACACCAAAGACCCTAAGCTGCCGGAGAAGGCAGTTTTAAGCATGGCTCCACTGGGGACTGGACGGGTTGCTTTCAGCTGGACAGTTCTGTGGCTGTGTGCAAGCACGAAACTCTAATCAGGGTGTGCACACTGCACTGTACTCACCAGTGGACCCGCCCCTTGGACTCTGCTGCTGGGGTTCACTGAAGGCAGAGCCACCCCAGGGTATAGCAGGGGCAGGGGACAGGAAGGCTTACCTGGAGACCTCTTCCCATGTCTTCTTTAGGCGGTGGATGGCATTGCTCTGTAGAGCAGAGAGGATGGCGTAGAGGGAGGAGAAGTTCTTGAGCGCTCTGCATTCCTGGAGACAAAGAGTCTGTGAGGGGAGTCCCAGGCTGAGGCCCTCCATAAGAATGCCAGGAAGCTCCCAGAGGGCATGCCAGGGGCACTCACTCACGCAGCTGCTCAAGTGCACAGTGCCAGGAGAGAGTGTGCACCTGGCAGGGGGCTGTGTGGCCCTGAGGTCTGTGAGAAACAAAGAAGAGGTTCCCAGGCCCCTCCTGCAGCCTACCCTGGCCACCTCGATCCAGTGTTCCACCACCCGGGCCCTGTCTGGGGCCTTCATGCTCTGGTCGCCAAGGCAGGTAGTAATGACACAGTTGGCCACGTTGTTGAATTGGGCGACAGTGGCACGGACGGTCGGTGCGAGGTGCTCCTTGCCCTTCTTGTCCCGCTGTGACCAGATGGAGCCCAGGCAGTGGTAGGGCACCACTCTCTTGAACAGTTCCTGGGGAGAAGAATTAGTGTCACTGTGCACAGCCCACACGCCCAAGCTGGACCTCAGAGACTGAGGATGAGCCCCGCGGGACTCTTACCTCTCCACCTGACCTCTGAGAGCAGGAACTATGACAGGGAGAAGGCAGGGGCACACACCAGGGGCTCACGCCTGCTCATCTCAGAAAGCATCTGCTGCCCCCTCCCCAGTGAACACACCAGTTACAGTCTGTCCTGCGTCTGTCCGTCTCCAGTACATAGTAAGCACTTCATAAGTGCTGAGGCTAGATAGGACTCCAGGGGGGTGACCCAGGGGCCTATGGGTACCTTGGTGAGCAAGCCTCCATCCCTAAGAGGTCAGACCCACCACATTTTCTATCTGCTCCAAATCCTTAAGTGCATGTGTGTGTGTGTGTGTGCGTGCAAGTGTACACGCATGTACTTCATGACCACCAAGCAGGGGGAATCAATGCCTTGGTATTAAGTAATGTGTCCTATCTACATGTTTGTTAACAGTGGAGCTGGGATTTGCCCTGGGGGCACAGGCTCTGAACCAAAAAACAGGTCTAGACAGCAGAATACAAAAGGATTACAAAAGGAATACAAAAAAAGCCTTGCCCTACCCCACTGAGCCACTCACAGCGTCCATCAGTGTAAACTGCTCAGCCACTAGATCTGGAGGGAAGTGCAGGAGGTGCGGCTTCTCATCTAGTCCATTCTCTGTGGCTCCAGGCAAAGACCAGGAAGGCTGTAGTGCAGGAGCAGGCACAGCAGCTGGCTCCAGCTCCAGGGCCTGTGAGAGAGCCGGCTGCAGCTCCAGAGCAGGTGCGAGGGACAGCTCAGGCTCTAGCGGTGGCACTACCACTGGCTCCAGCTCAGAAGCTGGTGCCACCACAGGTCTGGATGCCAGTGCTGGTCCTAGGGATGGATCTGGCTCAGAAGCTGGTGCCACCACAGGTCTGGATGCCAGTGCTGGTCCTAGGGATGGATCTGGCTCAGAAGCTGGTACTGGCTCTGGCTCTGGCGCTGGCTCTGGCGCCAAATCCTGGCTGGATGCCAGAAGCAGTGTTGGAGCTGGCTCAAGCTGTGAAGCTGGTTTCAGAGACAGCACTGGAGCTGGGGACAGGGCTGTAGGAGAAAAGATGTCCAACATGGGTGCCTTGCCCAGACCCAGAGCATTTCCAAAGACAGAGTACCACTGCCTGTCAGAGAGACAAGCACCTGTCCCCCCAACAAGATGTTGACCCAGGTCACAGTATACTGCCTGCTGGTCCCAGGCACATTCTAGCTCCTGGCCCAGTGCCAGTCCCGGAGTCTCTCTGTGGTGGGAACTAGTACTGGCGCCTCCGACCAGGCTCTGTGTAGCTTCCCCTGTCTCCTCACCCTCAGGCTCAGCCTCGCTGGGCTCCAGGTCCTCCAGCTGGGCCAGAAGAAGGTGAGCACGGCGCTCCAGGTCTGAGCCCGGCATGTTGAGCTGCACATAAGCCACCAGCTGCTTGAGGCAGGGAAAGTCCGGAGGTTGACAGAAATCCTCTGAGTATTGGTCCAGCCAGGTGCCCAGAATGGAGGAGATGGCACTGGGGAAAGGCAACAGAGTCAGAGGCATGGCCTCTCCTCCCACCCTCCCACAGCACCCCTGTGCTGTGCTTCCACCCACAAGTCTCCTTTGGCTCTCCTGACTGTGGCAGGCCAAGGAACGAGATAGAGGCTACAGAGAATTCCCACAGGAGACTGAAAAGGCTCATCAACGGGATGACAGTTCTCTAGGCTCTTTAGGGGAACGCCCCTACTCCTGTTCAACTGTGCCTGAATGCAAATCCTTATCCTCCTACCCAGCATTCAAGGAACCTCAACCAGTGGCTGGGACTACCTCAGTACCTATTCTTTGTGAGCCAGGTGTGGGCTGTGTTTTCCTGAGGCACATGGTTTGTTCTTTGAAGCCCTTACCAAGGAGTGAAGCTGCGCGTCTATCGAGACAGGCTGTGCTAGGAAGGATTCTCGTAGTGCTGGTTCTGAATGGCACCCCATATGCATGCCCCCCTCTCTCTCTCACACACACACACCCTCCTCTTTGCTCCTTGAATGCTTAGTTCCGCCCTGAACTCTTGTCTTCTTCCTGCTGCAGGAGGAGCCTTAGACCTCAGCCCACCAGCACAAATCAGAAGTGTGGGACCTATGTTTTGCTCAGCCCTGTTCCCCAACCCCGCCCCCCGCTTGACCCAAAGTCCACTTACTTTTTGAGTTGGTCCTGCGGTCCACCATCCTCACTGGAGTACGGGAGGATGCAGCCATATCTAGAGGAGGCCGTGAGGGCGTCACATCTACCGTACCTGCTTATGATGTCTAGTGTTACTGGCCAACTCCCTGATGGGAATGGACCTCAGGGAGGCAGGGACTCTCTGCTCTTGCCACAGAGAAGTGCCTGGCAACACAGCTGCACACAGCAGATGTTTTGTACGTTTGGACACCTCAGCAGAGCTAGGGCCTGTCAGTCAATTACCACAGGGCCTGTGTACATCCAGGTCAAGGTTTCCCTCCTTTCTAAGTGGAGAACTGTTTAGCCTGAGACTCAGGTGACATGGCTTCTCCATGGAAGAAAGGACAACCATATATATAAGACCCACACCGGCCTTGACAGCCCAGACTGGGGTGGCATTGCCAGGGTCCAGCTAATTCAGTCCTGACAACAGTCTATGAGGATGTTTACCATCAAACTGGGGATCACAGGGACACAAGGACGCAGCCAAGAGGAAGGGTGCCCTGGGTCTGGTGCTCACCTCTTAAACAGCAGGTCCAGCACCTGCTGAGTGGTGGTGAAGGCTCTGTAGGTGCACAGGAAGACGGTGACATAGGAAAGGTCACTGCCCTGGAAGGCAGGCACCAGGTGCTCCACCAGCTTCTCCAGAGTGCCAGCCTTCACCGTGCGCACCTTGCAGGTCTCGTAGAGGTTCAGGGCCGACTCATTCTCACACTGGGTGAACAAGGGAAGGACACAGTCAGAGGAAGGGCTGTGGTCTCAGGAAAGTTGGAGGCTGGAACTCAGAACACCTCCTACACACCTGCAGTACAATGTGGCCAAAGCTGGGAAAAAGAGGACCTCTGGCAAAGGATCTTGGATTTTCTCTTTTCTTTCTTTCTTTTCTTTTCTTTTCTTTCTTTCTTTCTTTCTTTCTTTCTTTCTTTCTTTCTTTCTTTCTTTCTTAATTTTCTCCTTCCTTCCTTCCTTCCTTCCTTCTTTCTTTCTTCTTTTCAAGACAGGGTTTCTTTGAGTAACAGCCTTGGCCGTCCTGGAACTCACTCTGTAGACCAGGCTGGCCTCTAACTCACAGAACTCCGCCTGCCTCTGCTGGGATTAAAGGTGTGTATCACCACCGCCCGGCAGGGTCTCAGATTTTAAAGTAAAATTTGAGGTGTGGAGCGCTTCAGGGTAGTTTTTTATGTGAGTGACAAGAGTATCTAACATACTCTGGGACCGGGGGTGTCCAAACTGAATAGCCCATCCTAGAGGTGGAAAAACAGGCTTAATCCAGAGTCAGGGATTGGCCTTATCAGGACCTAAAGAATTCCCTGAGGAAGCTCAGTGACAACAGCAATGACGCTCAACAGCTGTGGCAATAGGTTTTCCTTCTGGAATATTATGTGGCTGGGTCAGGCCGAGCTTCTGAGCTCAGGGGGCCCACGAGGTGTGTTCGGAGACAGCAAGTTGCAGAAGTGCATACACACTCGCTAATTTTGTCAACTTGACACAGGCTAGAGTCATCTTAGAGAAGGGGACCCGACTGAGACAACGTCTCCCTGAGACAGTGCTGTAGACAAGCCTGTAGGACACTTTCTTAATTGGTGATTAATGCAGCAGGACCCAGTCCATTGTGGGTGGGGCCATCCCTGTTGGTGGTCCTAGGTTCTATAAGAAAGCAGCCTGAGCAAGCCACAGTGAGCAAGCCAGTAAGCGGTGCCCCTCCACAGCCTCGGCATCAGCTCCTGATGGCAGGTTCCTGCCCTGTTTGAGCTGCTGTCCTGACTTCCTTTAGTAATAGATTATGGATGTAGAAGCATAAGTCAAATAAACTTTTTCCTCCCAGCTTGTTTTTGGTCATGGTGGTTCTTCATAGCAATAGTAATATCTTAGCTAGCAATAGTAATCCCAGTTAAGACAATGTACAAAGCCTGAACTTCTATTCCCTGGGGACAGAGGGTAGCCCTACTATGTGAGAGGATTTATAGGACTAGGAGGAAGGTGTAGGACTGACATCTGGAGACAGGTATTTAAACCAGGCAAAATATTCAAGTATGCATGGCCTTATGGGAAATGAGAAACAACGCCAATGGTGTCTCTCACTTGGAGGTAGGTAAGTCAGCAGGGCCTTTCTGCACGAGTTGGACTTTGGGATGGTGGAGGAAAGGAGAGAGGTGGGGAGGGTCTCCTCTCTGTACTCACCCCTAGCCAGCGCTGGCCTTTGGTGGCTCCCTGGTGTAGCTGAACCTTGCGCAGGGAGATGGAGTAGATGACCCCGTTGATCAGCTCCTCCCCAATCTCCTGCGTAGAGCTCTGGAAAGACATGGGCCGGTAGCCCGACCAGGTTATCGGGGTCTGATGCAGGAGGATGACACAGACAAGCGGCTCCGAGACCTCCAGTGTGAAGTTAATGGAGAGCCCAGGACTCCCCTTCCCACCAGGCTCCTCATAACCGAAAGACCAACACTTCAGGTACCCCTAGTCCTGGACCATACCCCTATTCTCCCTCTAAGACAGGTATTGTTATCCAGCCATTTTGCAGAAGGGTAAGTGGAGGTTGAGGCAGGAGTAACTGATCCAAGTCAAACTGTCTTGTATATGGCAAAATCCCCATCCCAAAGTCCTAACATGGTCACAGGTGCCATTGGCCCTCAGAAAAACCTAGTCCCAGAGCCCAAGGTCCAGGGTCACCTTCGCCCTCATCTCTGTCTAATTTGAGGTTCCTGCCTGACTCGGCAGCATCAGGCAGTTCCTCCTAGCCCAGCCCTGAAGTCAGCAACATGGGTCTAGGAAGGTGCAAATGCAGGCTGCATCTGCTTGCTTCCTTCCTCTTCTGCTCATTCATGCTTCTGAGACCTCTTGGGCAACACGGGACTTCCCGGCTGGCTGTTCTTTCTCACGTGAATGGGGAAGAGCAACAATGCTGGGGTTCCACAAAAGCCCAAATCATGAGGTTTAGTTGAGAAAGAAGGGGGTCACATGGCTGCTTCTCAGAGTCCCAAACAGAAAGTAAACATGCTTCCCGATACCCCAATATCTGTTCAACTCCTGTGGTCCAGGGAAGGGCTACAGCTGGGATGGAGGGTAAAGAAACCAAGCTCAGAGCTCAGAGAGGCTTACTGCCTCCACACCCCATGTGAACCACAAGGATCGCTGTGGTGCCCAGAGGATTCTGGCCAAAGTGCTCACCTACCCAGAGTCCCACTGTTGACCCTTCTGGGGGCCAGTGTGATGTGGGCTGTACCTCAGCTCTCAAGTCCGTCATCCACCCTCACAGGGCTCTGGGAAGCCTGGAAACAACTTTTGGATCTTCCGACCTCCTACTCCAGGCTTTGAACCAAGGGTAAAGCCATGGCCACCACACTAACTCACGGCTGTCTATCTTCTCTGGAAACAAGGCCAGGTCTGTTTCCTGAAAGTCAGTGGGTAACAAGAAGGCTCACGTACCTAAGCAATCGTGGCCCACAGCCTTAAGAGACCAGTGACATTGTCATCAGCTCACCCCTGGCCTGAATCAGAAGACATAAAGGAGACCATGGCCCTGCACCACCCACTGTGCCTCCTCAGAGGTTCTTGGTAGTCAAGGCTGGGAGAGTCTGCCTTTCCTAAGGAGTCTGGCCACATCTGGTGTCAGTGTCCTAAACACCCAGGTGGCCAGCAGCAGGAAGTCAGGGTCTCACACATGAAACTCCCTCTTCCACCACACAACACTGGATTTCAGCCCAAGGAGCCCAGTACAGTAACAGTTTTTTTATTGGTGCTCAATGGACAGAAATGTGCCCTGCCTGGCCAGGCAGACCTGAAGGAGAAGCTGGATGCAAGTAGCACAGCGGCCATGCTAGAGCAGGGCTCAAAAGCAAGCCCTTTCTCAGCCCTGGGCTCCAGCTGACTGTCCAGCAGCTGGCCTGGGCCCTGTGGGAGTGTCATGTGATCCCTGCACCCTTCCCCCACCTGAGGGGGGACATTCTGCCAGCTGGGTGAGGGGGGTGCTGACAGGCACCAAGAGTCATACATGCCTTCCTCTGGGGAGTCGATACCCTGTCACGCAGATGGGAACTGCTCCATTTCCTTAAAGCAACCACAGCAGGAATGAACCAGCCTACCCTACAATGCTGAATGTGGGCACTTCTGCCAGATACCCAGGGAAGACAGACGCCGCCGGCCTGGTTAGAAAGGAACAGAGAAGAGCCCCTCTCCCCAGTCTAAAGATCCTCCCTAAGGCCCCTCTGAGGCTGGAAGGGCAGGGACCGTGGGCTACCTTTGTAGCACATGGCGGGATAACTCAGGCAGACCAGGGAGAAGAGGGGTAAGCTGGCCTAGTGAACAGCTGATACAGCAAAAGTGTTTGCCTGCCTGTCCGCCTGCGGCAGGCATCCAGGAAGCCTCCGAGCTCCGAGGAAGGAATGCCACATGGTTGGCTGTGTCCTTAAGGAGGATCATCCTGCCTCCAGCATGTACAAGGCCCCCAGGGCCCTGGGACACCCTGAAGAGCACTGGGTGGTGGTGGTGGGGTGTCCAGTCAGACAGTGTCTGCTTCTGTTTCAGGCCTTAGCAGACATGGTAGATTTCAGAGCACAGGATCACAGTTTTTCTCTACAGAGGTTCAGTCTACTTGGTGGCGCAGGGGGATTCTAAACCTTCAGGGTGATTTCTAAACCTGCCTGTACTACTGCCCAGGGCCACTGAGTCACTAGATCACCCCAGGGCTCTAGCAGGCCCCTTGCAGGCACCCTACAGCTCTGGACATGCAGGACCCACAGGACCAAACCCATGTACCATATCTCTGGAAGGGTCTCAACCCCCAGCTTGGCTGACCCATGGGCTGGGAGAGCAGCAACAGCTAACTGGTGACAGGATGGGGGCTGCAGATGAGTAAGGGAAGCAGACAATACGTGGTGTAGCACCAGAGCCGATGACATGTGAGAGCCCACCTGTCAGAGGCCCACCTGGGACTACTGGACCCAAAGGGCAGCTCGCTCAGAGTCCTGGACCTTAAATGACGCTTCCAGAAGAGGGACAGTGTAGTCTGCATGCTAGTTAGCAATCTCAGGCTGTCCTCTACCCATTTTAGAGGTGGAAACCAAGGCCCAGGGGAGGGGCCAAACAGACAGTGTACATGACTCCTCAAACCTAGGCCTTGGTTCGGCTCTTAGACCATGAGCCCCAGTAGAAGAGGGATAATGAAAATATCAAGCGTAAGAGTCCTCTAAATGCCAAACCCTCATAGCAGCCCCTATGTAATTCCCAAGCCTAGGCCACAGAGGGCGGCCTCAGCTGGGGACTGTGGGTGCCTGGTTGCCATGGCAGGAAGGGAGCACCGAGACCTCAGGCTGTAAAGCCCTGCACTCAGCCTGTGCAGAGCTCTCAGAGTCAGATTCGGGTTGCCAGGAGCCCTCCCTGTCAGCCTGAATCCAGGTATTGGTCAAATTAGCATTTTAGGAAAGAAAACTAAGCTCAAATGGGGGAGGGGAGATCCATCTCTTCAGCCCAGTAAACCCAGCTTTGTCTACCTGATCCTGCTGTGCATTTGCAACTGCCTCTTATCATAAAATGGCCACTGTTGGCCAGGTCTGGGACGACCCACACCACTGACCATGACCATGCTGTCCAGCTGACTCGGGCACCTCTATTACCAGGTCCTTTTACACTCAGTGCATGTGACTCTCCCAATATGCTGCCTGGCAGAAGAGGGAACAGCCAGGTTGGGACAGGTAGAGGCCTACTGAGGTAGAGCCAGGAAACAGCAGCCAGGACAAGGATTTGATCCCTGGCCTGGAGGGACACACCCAGGGCTGGTTGCTGCTTCTATCAGAGGCACAACACCAGGGCAGGGTCCAGCCTTCGTCACACAGATGCAGGGGAGGGACTGGAGACAGAAGTGACTTCCTCAGGCTACACAGCAAGGGAAGGTAGCCAGGCCAGTGGTTTCACACCTGCACCTCTGAGCAAAGGCTTAAGCTCATGTCCTGTGATGCCATGCCGAGGGCAGCTGCAAGTGCCAGGCCACATGTCCCAGGAGCTCAGACATCAAGACGGCTTGGGCTTTGTCACCCGGTCAGAAAAACTAGCTGTGGTCACTGCCAGGCTCTGTGGACTGCACTTGTCAGACCATCCGTCTCCACTTGGTCCATTCCAGAACTCCAAGAGTAACTAGCATTATGCCCACCTTACAGACGAAGGAAACTTGGGATTCAGAGGGGCCAAGCTGGCCTTTGAGCACAGCTGCCTTCACGGCAGAGCTCGGGCTCTGCACCTCTGGGCTTAAAAGGGCAGAAGGCCTGCAGGTGCGGCGGTAGGACAACAGCTGCAGGCAAAGGCTCGAGGGAGAGGAGAATGCCAACAGAACAGCCATGGCCCAGCAGTTCTGGTCCCCGTGCCCTGCTCAGGGAGAGCCCTCAGGCTGTCCTTTCTCCAGAGAACCGAGTTTGCTCGGGGCCTCAGCCAGTCTCAGTCTCTCACTCTCACTGTGCTGGGGGCTGGCTTCCTTGGGGTGTATGCCTGATAACACAGCACTTGTGAGGATAACAGAAGCTCAACCCCAGGGCAGGCGCCAAACTGAGACCCTTCAGAGTGCAGCCTTGGAACCCCCTCCACAACCCACAGGCCTGAAAACTGTCTGGTCACCTCAGTAAGAGTCAGCCCCCAATCTTGCCCTGCTGGCAATCTGGTTCCTCCTGCTCCAGAGCTGCCCTGAGGCTCCCAGGAAATGGACCAGCAGGTCTCTCTTAGTACAGAGGATCAGTACCAGTCTGGTCTGGGCCTCCTCATCCTCTACTGTGTCTCTGAGTAAAGCAAACAGAGGGACAAGGGGGTCCTGGGGGCCCGGCAGTGATGGCCAGTCCCCTCAGGTTCCTGGAGGCCACCTTCTTAGAGTCGGCCAGGAAGTCCCTCTGAAAGATTATCTTGTACACACGTACACACACACACACACACACACACACACACACCCCTCCCTACGTGTCTGGGTCTCCAGTGTCAAGGGAACAAAAGAACCCTAGGGTAAGTTAAGAGTTGCACACAGTGTGATCAAGAGACCAGACAGCCCAGAAGGAGAAGCCCCCACTTCACTGTGTCCAACCCACACAGCCTTCAGGCTTCACAGGCTAGCTGCCACAGTGAGAAGGCGTCTGGCCTCTGCCTCTGCAGTTGACTGCTTATTGACTCTGTGCAATCTAATTAGTTGTTTCATCTGTCAAATGGACTATTAATAGCCCTACCCACCCCCAAGGACAAAATATATACAAATTATTTAGCCCAGGCCCTTCCACCAAGCCCTAGGCTGCTAGCTGTTATGCTAAATTCCTGGTCCACTGTCCTCAGGGTCTCCAAATGTGAAGCACTTTCACCTTCTTCCGACTCTAAGCTTTCCCAGCTCTCACTCAACTAGGGCCAACCTCCGCCCCAGCTTCTGCTGCCTTCCACTGTCCACTAGCCATTTCTGCTTTGTCCCGCTTTCAGCTCTTACAGGCAGCAGGCACCCCATCTCTAATTCCAGAGAACACGGCTTGTGCCGAAGTCCTGTCTGCGACCCTTCCTGACAGCATACTTATCTAGGTCAGGGACTTCACCTCTCTGCCCTCCAGCCTCTTAGCAGATGGCGCTGGTATCTAAACTGGAGGTCTGGCAAAGTCAGGAAGAACATGGTGCTGGGGCCTGCTGCCTGTAAATGCTACAGAGCCACAAATCACTCTTGCCATGCTGGCGCTGAAGCCTGCCTGTCGCAGGAGCATAGACCTCATGACCTCCAAAAAGCATGGTCTGAGGCAGGTCAAGCTAGGTCAGCAGTGGTTTAACTTAGAGTTGAGATGGCAGGCTGATGCCCAGATGTGTGAGGACATCTGACAACCCCAGGGCTGGGGAAACAATGACAGAAGAGGAAAGGCAGAGACAGTTTGGTGTTTTCCAGAGAATCCAGAGACCTTAAGCAAGCAGGTCAGCTTCATTTCTGGACCTGGGACTGCCATCAGGAAATCAGCTCCAGGATGGGGATGGGAGGGAATTATTGGCAAAACAGAGTGGGACTTCCCTGCCCCCTCCCCCAGGCAAATGCTAAATGGTCATTGTGTTCAGTTTCCGGCTGCAGCCTCCTCTTCTGCCAGGACCCTGGTTTTCCTGCCACAGCCAGAAGCTTCCCTTCTGATGTCTAAACAGTGACAGGGCTGTAGGACAGCACAGAGGCCTGGAGAGGGGGGGCAGAGCAGGCACCTAAAGCAGCAACCTGTGCAGGGCAGAACTTTCCGCCCTGCTATTCCAAGGGGTTCTCAAGGGTATAGACGGTCACAGCTAGAGAGAAGCCTGAGCCCCCTCCATGAGTGATCAGGCCAGACCCTTCCAGCACACAAAGCCCGAGGCTCTGCCAGACATAATGAAAGCCAGATGAGCACAGGGCTGTGGCAGGCCGCCCACCACCATGTTCCCTGGAGTCCCTCCCCAGCCGCCATGAGGATGAGACCACTGGGTGAATGAGATGCCTGGCTTGGACACCTGCCAAGCTTGGGAGGCCTTCCAGGCCTGGGGGTTCCCTGACCAAAAGTTCCCAAGTCGGGCACAGAAGTATGCTTTGTCCAGGCCTTCTCTATGCAGAGCACAATTTGGGACTGCCTCAGGAGTGCACTACCTCTGGGGTATGATGACAGGTGCACACTGGAGGTGGGAGGCGGAGGCCCCACCCAGGTCACGCTAGAAACAAGCTCCTACCTTTACCTATTACCCCCACCTCCTGCCACGCGTAAAGGCAAACGGTCTCCCTTCTCTGAATCTGCCTAGACTCTTACAAAGTCAGGATGTCGGCACATTTCTTAATCAGGCAGAAATGAATCACGGGTCACAGTGAAGCCCTGTCCTCTCACTACCTCGACACCTGGTTCCACAAGTTGGAGATCAGTCTCCACCCCTACCCCACTTCCTTCAACTGCCCCCTCTGAGCAGCCTTGATGTTCCCGGATCATTAGACCTATATCTGACTCAGATGGCTATCCAGAAGCCCCAGAGGTCCCACTCACCACTGGGGAGTCTAGGACTACGTCAACCCAACCATTGGCTGATCCCACTGTATTGTGCGGCCTCCTCTTGTCCCCAGTCCCATTAACAAGGGTGTGAAATGAAGCCAGGCCCTTATGGTTGGAGCATTCACGCACCAGGGATGTAAACAATGACAGTGCGGAGAGGCCTAAAGGTCTGCCTGAATCTGATTGCAGAGACTGGGGCTGTCACACTTGGGATGGGTAGAAGCAGGCACTGGCATGACGAATTGAGGGGGACACGGAAATCCAGCTCTTGTCCCTAACTACTGCTCAGGGTGTGCTGGAAGCTGTGATGCCCAACTTGCTGCCCCGGAGCTGGTGCAGCAGGGAGATTTCTGTGGAAGGAACCTCATCCCCACCCCCCGCTCACCCACCTCCAGGCGCGGTAGATCCGGGTCTAGCTGAGTGAAGCTGTGCAACACCACGGGACAGCTGTCCGGGACGCCCACCTCTAGACGCACAGCGTCCCACACGCTGCGGCTGCGCCGGGAGCCAGGAAACAACGACTCGCCGCCCCCTACGGGCCCGGCCGCCTCGGCCCACATGCGCTGCACCATG